TTTTACACGGTCCCATGGATTTTATTTAATAAGGTTTATTTGTGTGTGTAACAACATAATTACAGATACCTGTTCATCTCCAAAGTAGCAGACAAATGCAGTCTCTTTCTACCTTGATAAATAGGTGAGTTTATTGCTTGAATGTAAGCACAACATATGAATAATAACAGCATAGGGGCGATGAAGATCTTCAAATGTGTTTTCTATGCCAGTTACAAAATATAACTTGTTACTTCAACTTCTCCAGAATCTGTTGTAAAAAAAAACTTCGACTATATGAGTGAATTGAAAGAAATTCGCCGCAGTTCAATGTTCGTAGGTCTCGTTGTTGCGTGTAATAATAGGTTTAAAAAGTAATTAAAAAGATCACAACCATATGCGCTATAAAACATAAAATGATCCATACCGGCCTTTCTAATCACAAAATATTGAACTTTTTTGGCAGAGGAAATTTACTGCAAGCAGTAATTTGAAATGTATTAATCTGGTATAAAAATTGTATTAGCAGTAACCTTTAAGTAACTGTGCTGAGCCTTTAAAAGGTACAAAATTGGATGTTTTCTTAAATGTAATAAAAATCCAATATGTGCGCCGTGTACTTCGAAAAAAACAGCCTCAGCGTTGAGTCACTCATAAATCTTCAGGAGAACCAGCTGCCACGCTGGGTATTCTCTTTTCAGATCAGCCGTCGTCCGGGGCTTGGTCTTTTTTTTCCGAGAACCACTATACATTTAAAAAAAAAAATTTCAGAAGCTACATTTCCAAAACTAATTTAAAAAAAGACAGCGGGGAGTTGCATCTGTAGACTAACTCGGACAATACACTTCGCGTAGTGACCCTCAAGCACCCACTCATCAGACCACGACGGATGATCTGGGTGGATGATGACCGCCCTATCTCCTCAGGAAGGCGGGCTCTGTGCTGGGCCGGAGCCCTGACCCCCTGGAGGTGGTGGCGGAGAGGAGAATGCTGACCAACCTCAAAGCCATTATGAACAACACCTCTCAGACGCTTCATGGGACTGTTACTGGGCAGCGGAGCACTTTTAGCAACAGACTGCTCCAGCTACGGTGTTCAAGGGATCATTTCCACAGGTCCTTCCTCCCGGCGGCTGTCAGGGTGTATAACACTGCCCTAGGCTAGGACTGCTAGCCCTTGACACGACAGCATGTTGCACTAGTAAACTTTTTGGACACTCAATCTGTATATACCCTTTCCCCTATAGCACTTTTTTGTTTTGTTTTCTAGTGACTATGAGCATATTTTGCACACATTTTCCTAACTCTATATATTTGTTTTGTATTGCTGTATTTATTTTAATTTTTCGTCTTTTCCGATGTCTGTTTTTGCTTGTCTTGGGCTGGGCTGCTGTAACACCTCAATTTCCCTTCGGGATCAATAAAGTCTTACCTATCTGTCTAACTCCTCTCTCTCCGGGTGCTACTGTCACAAGCTTGTTAGAGCGCCCCCGTGAGGCCGATGCGATGCCCGCG